TCTTCATATTTTAGCAGGGGATTCAAGGAAATTTGATTGGATGATTCAAAATGATTTCTGAGAATAAACGACCAATTCCATGCAGTAACAGTGGCGCATATTCAAGATGTATTTGTATCGAATATCTCATAATTCAGTAGTGAAGAAAATTAATAATTGTTCTCTTTTTGAATTTCCCAGTCTTTTTTAAAGTTAATATATTTAACGTTTTTAGCCTACAGAAAGATGTGTGAGGATGCATTTACCCGTAGCTTAATGTGTTTTATCGCCTTTGAGCGCTATCGTCTGGACAATTTAATTTTAATTCTTTTGTATTTTATTTTTAAGTTACGAAATTTGTTTAATTTCCGTCATTTCTGTATGGCAGACAGCAATTTAAAACTGTTGGTGAGTTTCTTTATCCGGTTTCAAAACTAATTACAGAGACCTTCGTCCTCGTGGTTTCAATCGATCCTGTTTTTGACTTTGCCCGTAGACCTAACGCTGTATTTGTTACGAGGCTAGAAAAATCCGTAGATAATTTTTACATTTTATTTAAAAATAAGATGAAACTATTTTAAATAAAAAACATTAAATAACATAATAAAACAAACATAATAAAGACATAACTCTATAGAATTTAAACTTGCACAATAAAAGGGAATTTTTGCTGTAGCAGACGGTGAGGGATAGAAATGATGAATGATGGAGTGAGCGTGGTGTTCAATCTTTTTAAAAAAGATAGTTCCTACTCACAGTAAGTTGTTTTGGAGCGATCCGGATTTCGAGCCTTTTAGCTCATCATCAGGTTGTAGAAGTCCTTCAACCTGATGGATGAGCTAAAAGGCTCAAAATCCGGATCGTTCCAAAACAACTTACAGTGAGTAGGAACTATCTTTTTAAAAAGGACGGTGAGGGATTTTCAAGCTTCTAGGTTACAGCCATAGCTAAAAAGAGAGTCTTGGAAAAACACATAGGCTCACCACCTTTTTGTGGTGTAAAATAGCCAGCCACATTAAAAGAACTGGTATTTTGGGTATATACTAAAAAAACACAATAATATTGGGAACGTATGCCAGACATAATGCTTGCGAAGATTACTCCAGAAAGAGGACTAGAGGAGAAGAAAGAAATCGTACTCAGCACAGAGGAATCAAAAACCATAAGAGTTATATTTACACAAACAATGAACTACCAGGTAAAAAATGCAACTATAACACGATGATCCATATCAACTATGTCCAGAGGAGTGAGTGATACTACATAAAATATTGCCCTGCAATCGAAAGGTTATTTCCTAAGGAAAGGCTATGGTACCCAGCCAATACTTTGGCAGCTTTGGCAATATAGCCCTAGTACCATACTCCTGACCTGAATTATCCGTTCTACATTAAAGACACGAAAATCTTCCAAGAAAAATGTTAGCAGAGATTGGGTACAATGGAGAAATATACTGACCCTTTTATTAAGATTTTCAAACTTTTCTTAAAAACTTAAAAAGTTAACATATACGACCATATTTTTTTAATGTTAACGTATTTTAGAAACACGAAGATTCCTTCATTATATTTCCTTTTTAACGTTTTCTTTATATAATAGGAGGTGCTTGTATTCTCATTTTTCTAAGTTTTCGAATTTTTACTTAAAAATTTCAAAGGCAGAAAGTCAATCTTCACTTTTGCTTGAGAACAATTAAGTAACTAGTAATGGTTCTAACAATATCCGTTGTATTTAGTTAAACAATTTAAATTGGTTCAACACTGCCAATAAATTCTATTTAATCACTTACTAAATTGGTTTTATAAACAGAAATTCACGTTAAAACCTGTTCGACTGTTGAAACAGCGTTGCCTTTAATGGGTTCACCAAATGGTAAATCTAATTCGAACTGATTGCCGCTCACGCAAATGTAGCGAGCCTTTTAAAGGGTTTTTGAATTATTTATTTTTAGCAAATAATTATAAAGATAGAAAGATAGAATGTTTATTCCTGGCAAAATATCGGCCAATCTCGGCTGAATAATCTTGTTTGCACAAGACGAGCGGTGATTTATAAATGTCTGTCAGAATTCTGGCATAAAGATCCATTTCATCAACTCCCGCTCCTCGCCTCTTTACTACAGCCTAAATGTCTTTGGAAATCAAAAAATCGATGAATATATTAATATTTTTGTTTGCTTGGTGTATCCTGTGAAAACCGATCTTCCTGATGACCTGAACATTCATTTAGACCTGGATATTTTTACATATTATATGAATGGTTTTCAAAACCGCGATAAACATGTTTGCTTACATAAAATTTAAAAATAAATAATTTCATAATAAGGATTCCATATTCAATATTTAGCGTTGTTATTACTCTCGCATTTACAAGACAATCCGTCGTTCATGCTATGAACTATAAAACAAAATCTATGATTTTATATCATATATCCATATTACATTTAGTAGTGAAGCCAAATGTATGATTTCAATCCAAAACAAAACCATGTAAGGTGGCTCAAGCTGGTGTTATAATAAATAGACTTTTATATATATATTTTTACAGATCTTCTCGATTACCTGATCGCTTTTTGAACTCCACTACCAATCATTTAAAGAATGAGATATCTACTGAACGGGAGTATGATAGATTAAAATTTTAGTGCTATATCCGACCCTTTGTTATAATTCTAAATTATTGACAAAATAAAGTATGCAATCAACTGTCGTAACTTTTTTACAGTCTTTGGCGTAAATTTACATTAATGTAAAATTTGTAAATTGAAAAAAGAAAGGAAAAGGATAATATAACTAGCCCTATCCTTGGAACCGAGAATTAATTTTTGACTTTTTGATATAAGAGAAATTCTCCGTTAAGGCATGTTAAATGGGCTTATCCACCTCAAATTATTAATTCGAAAGTAAACGAGGCCCGTCCCGGCCCAACGATTCTATGCTAAATTTGGAAAAGAGCGCCTGGACTAATTTTTTGGAGTGGAGCCTTCCCGAGGATGCAATTTTAGTAAATTTTTTCATCTTTACCCTTGGAAATGAAAATTTTCTAAATTTTCTCCTCCTAAATGTCGTTATGTTAGACAATTAATATTCAAACATCGTGGGCTAACAAGAGGCGGGAGAGAGAGAGGGAGGGGAAGATAGAGAGGGTGGGAGAGAGGGAGAGAGAGATGNAGAGAGAGAGAGAGAGAGAGAGAGAGAGAGAGAGAGAGAGAGACAGAGACAGAGACAGACAGACAAACAGTGATTACAAATGTAAGACAATATCTACAGTGCCTAAGTTCAAACATTCAGTCTCACAATACTAAAAAAACGTTGTTCAAGATGCACCCGAATCTCTAACGTTCGTTGGTTCCGCCGCACTGACATGACAAAAAAAAAGGGTAAACTATAAAGAAATTAAGAAGTAATCACGGAGTTCGCGGTTTTTTTATCTATCGTTGTTGAATAAGAGAAACCCCGTTATGCTAGACATATTATCAGTTCCTCGATGACTTAGCATATACACTTCAATAAACATGATTTTCGCAGAATAAGAAGGAATAAGGACACTTTTGAATAGACTGCGTTCAATGCTTGACGTAGAGAAGACATTCAATTACAAATCATTGTTGGCTGCGGAGAATAATAAGATTTATAAAAAAAAACCCTGAAATGACGCGGATGTGTCAATTTAAATTGAGGAGCGTATTTTAAGCACAATAAATAAACTAAAGAATAAAACTACAAATAAAATCGAAAGTAAAAATTACAAAATATTGTTGAAATGTTAATTGTAGGTATCTGGATTGGTCTGTAAAACGCATTTCGTAATCTTGGTGTTCTGTGCAGACACACTGCTAAGATGGAGAAAGACCGAAAAGCTCTCACAGACCAAGCCAACGAGGATAAACATCCCAAAATGGTCGATAACGACAAAGTTAAACTACCCGGTAGATAAAAATTGGGAGAAATCCCAGTTTAATTTTTATTTTGTTATAATCACAACAGCTCTCTATTCAAAAGAACAACATCTTGTAATAATAAATATATATAGTTGCATCTGATTCTAATTTGTTAGCAGGAGACGACAGAGCAAGCCAGGGCTGATGGATGAGAAGGAGGATAGAGCCTCGAACCCCAGAACTCGCAGAAGCGGACATTGTACATTGCCCCTCATGACAAAGAACGGCTTCCAAACATATATCAAAAGTTAAACTGTAAAACAGTGTCATTTTATATAATGCCCGTCGATTTTTCTTCTTCGAGGGATGATGTCTTCTCATCTTTTTCATATTATTCTTTGATTTTATTTTTTTAAATAGATAAAAAAGGAAGATATTGCGTTTTAGAACTGGAAACATTTCAGACCGATTTACGAACGTTATACAGAAAAAAATTAATCGACATTTCTCGAGTGTTTACTTTTAAATCGATAAGTTCGCCGACTTACAAAGTTCTAATTTTCTAAGGATCGACGGAAGGAGGCAGTCCTCATTAATTTATTTACCAACTCGCCCTTTTAATCTTACACTTTCAACCGTACTAACGGTCCCGATTATTTCTCCATCGGTGATTTCTCGGGTTCGGATCTTAAATCCATCGGACGGAAATAAAAATATTGGTAACCTGGAAAGTTTTATAAGAAGGTGAAGTTTTTAACGTCAAGTTTTTTCCATGCCGCCTAGCTGTTTTGTCATAGGACTTATTTAAGAAAGTGAGCGTTTCAACTTTATTTTGATGATATTTCAAATATTATTGGGTGAAAATTCTTTTCCTACTGTACCAGCAAATGCGATTTATTGAAAGGGGGGTTCCTTGTATTTAATTTTTAGCCAAAGGCTACCGCTGCTAATGCTCGAATCCTGTAAACACCTATCTCCACTCGGTTTTACCGGCTGCTCATCGTGATTCGGATTCCCACGAGGATTCAAGAGAGAGCAAACACTTAGGGGAAGAATGCATTTTCGAACAACTTTTCCGACGACGGGACAATTGCCTTTTTAGGACTTTTGCCCACGGTTATATATTGTAAAAAGGACTCACCATAGCCAGCGGGATTTGAAGGCAAGTTGACTTGGGTCTTAGCTCTGACAGCTGCAAACAAAAAAGCCATATTGAAAAATCTACCATGTACAGTACTAAACATATTACGTTAGAGCATAAATTTACATTACCTACAATTATTTATTTTTCAGCTTTCATCTTTATATTTGTACTTTAAAAAATGATCAGGGATATTCTTATGGATCATCGAATTAGTATACTAATTTGTTTCACTGATTTTTCTAACTTTATTTGGTGCTGCTCAGTGATGCTCAGACTTTTAAAAAAATTGTTATTCTTTGTTCAGTTTGTTGTACGTTTCATTTTTATCAATTTTTGTCATCGTTTATTTGGTTCTTACATACAATGAAATGTGTTGCTAATAATGCCCTGAAGATAATCACAATAAAGATCGAAACGTTGGCACGATAAAGAAAATATTTAAAATGTTTCTCTACGCTACATCACACCAGATAAAAATTTTTAATAATGCTGATTGGCTGAAATACTATTTCAATTTATTTATATGTGTGGTTAAACAAAAGTAATTTACCTGTATTCTGCAGTAAATCATGATTAATTTAATATTTTAATAAAAAATTATTTGTAATCGGGTACAAAATTCTCAAACCCTGTTTCTCTCCAGAGTAGTAAAGTTGGTTTAAAAGTTTATTAAAACTAACTGTTAAAAGTTAACCATTCAATAAGGTTTACAGCATAACTTTAGATATGTACAACATTGACCCAAGAACGATAATGGAAATGGTTTAAAAAATAATAATATCGACGTATACATTTTAACTTTTAACAGTGATAAAAATCGGCCTTATCGATTGGTGTAATAAGATTGAATAGCTAAAACTTTTAGAATCCAATCATTACAATAAATAATTAAGTTTGGGTAATTGGTTTTCTTTATTCTTGCAAAAAGCGTTTAAAACTTTATACATACAAAGTTGCAAGTGCCACTAATAATCAATCTGTCCTAATTTTCCATTAGTTTATGTAACGTCGAAATTTTTCTTGAAACTTTTACCCGTAATTTATCATAGCTGTAATAATTTATGGTTTTCACATCAATAGTTTTAATATCTCTTGATTTAAAAAGAAGTTCCAAACTTTGAGTGCTCCTCCTTTCGCTGTCACTCTCTCTCTCACTCACTCTCTCTCTCTCTCTCTCTCTCTCTTTCTCTCTCACNTCTCTCTCTCTCTCTCTCTCTCTCTCTCTCTCTCTCTCTCTCTCTCTCTCTCTCTCTCTCTCTCTCTCTCTCTCTCTCTCTCTCTCTCAGATTATTGCAGCTGCATATTTTAAATAACTAAGTAAATGTTTGATTCAAACCCACGACAAAACAACATCAGCATCTATTTCACGATGAGAGAAAAGCTCGCAGAAAGAAAAATCACAGTCCGAAGGCACAAATTTACGATGATTGTTTCTTGCAAGTTTTTATTACCCCGTCCAACTCAATCCATTAGGAGAAAATGATCTATGGCCGTGGAAGGGGGTGTGGCAAAGTACTTTATTCATCTATCGTAAAGTAGCATACAAGCAACACGGTCGGAAATAACGGAATAAACATAAATCTACACCCTGGGGACAAATAAGTAAGTGAAGTTGCCCTGGAAAACTTAGGGCTCAGTGGAACCGTATATACTTGTGAAACCAAAGTTAACTCCTAAGTAAGATTGTAGCAACTGTCACCGATTTGTTCTTCTTTTCGGAAGATCACTTCGCATTTCTCGTCACAAGCCTTTGTTTATTGCTAATTTAAAAGTTAGCGGTTCGTCAAATATCTTCTATTATAGTAAATTAATGTTACAAATTTGTTTATATGATGTTTCTTTTTTAATTATATTTATCTATTTTCTGTATCAAACGTTCAAACATTTTAAAAATCTGTTGCTTTTGTTAAAATGAAACATATTACTAAAATCAGAACAAAAATTTTTAATAATAGTGAAATAAATTTTGAATTGATCCCGCTATAATAATTCATTTATTTATTTTATTTTATTTTTATTGATTTATTCATTTTTTATGGGAGAGTTGACCACTCTTAAAAATATATCTTAGAAATTAGATTGTATATTTTTATTGCTCAATATAACGCTATTATATAAAAACATGATTCTCTGTACTTACGCAACGCGAAGCCTACAAACTGAGTTATCTGCAAAAATCAATGGGAATCAGACCCTCGTGGGATTTGGGATGAGCAAAAAGCTTACAAGAGTTTTCCCGATTATCCGACTAGATTACATACAAGCTAATTGAATTATTAATACACGCTCTCACTGTTTCACACGGGTGAGATAAACCTGAAAAGCAAACTGATTAGGAAACGAGACGATCAAAAGATAATCCGAGAGACATTAAACAAGTTCATTCATGATTTAAACTGCGTTTTTAAGTCAAATCGAGTTTTCTTTTACTAGATTTTATTTTTCTTCCTAATATTCCTTTTACCCTGATTACATGATATATTTTTAAAAAATAATATAATTTTATATTGACTATGTTTTAGTTATTTTAAGAAATTGTCGTTAACAGCTCACTCCTGAATAAAGAAACAGCGGAAAAAGATGATCAATTTTTCAACAGGTCATGCATTTATAACCCTTAAAACGAGGGGGAGATTTTGGTGAGGATTAGCGGCCTATTAAACCCCCTCCCGCCAGGCTATAGCGTCTTATTTCAGGATTCTCCACCTGCTTTAGCCAATTTACTTAGTTTATGCAAATTGATAATCAAATATCACTCCTCGCCTCCACCAGAGGGCTTCAACAGATTGGATTTTTCCTTTAAATAATCCAAAGGAGGCATCCGGTTTTAAAATTTTCAACGCTTATTTCCCAACAGAATATAATTATAGCGCGACCTCAGACTTATAAAAGGGTTTATGAAAAAGAAAGATGTTTTAATTTTTCTTAAGGAGACAACGTGCAATCACTTTTCTTCTTTCCAAGGGAGCTTTATTTTAAAAATTTAAAAATAAATGGATTAAAAGTGAGTCGTTTTCATTGTTTTTAAACAAAGATGATTTCAAAACATAAAATAATCCCTGAATGATGATAATAATAACAAGCACTACCAAGCAAATCATTCATGTAAATCAAATGATAATGTTACTACAAGTTACTAACAACCAAAATAAAAATCTGAATAAATATAATTTAGAAAAAAAAATATTTTCCCAACATCTTTTTGATTTTGTCTATGAAAACTTAACATTAATTAATTTTTAAAAAATAATCAATTACGTAAAGTTGGAATTATGAATTACATAAAACAATGGAGGATGGCGAGCAAATGTACGGTTAAAAAGTCATGTTTTTATTAAACTAGATTTTTCTGAATAGTTCGGTGTGAAATATTTGCAATTTTGAGCATCGGGTGTGCTGATTTTTTTTTAATTTTGCCGACAAATTAAAAACTTTTGAATTAAATTTTTTTATTAGATTAGACTTTTTCGAAAACTGTTTGGTGTAATGGATACATGCAATATATATGTATGCAATATATACCAAGAGACTGCTATCCGGCGGAAATGTCTAAACTTCGACAGTACTGTGTGTCACCAACGACTTGACAAAAAGTATACTCAAAAACTCGAAATTCGAACCTAATCTAAAAAACGGCTCTTTTGAAGTCACGTTTTTTCGACCTTCATGTCTTTTGCGTTTATTCAGTGTAATATTTTAAATTGCTAATTTTTTAATTTATTTTGCAGTTTTGCCGAGTCAATTTTTGCAATAAAATTCACGCCTTGAGAAAAAAATTTGAATAACTATAGTTAAAGGCAGATTTTTATGAAATTTTCAAAATATGTAAAAATATCTTTCAATTAATTAAGGTTTTTAGTTGAGATAAAAAAGTCAGTGTGAAGAGCGGGATTCGGACCCCCGATCATCGGCTAGATACGCCTCAAAAGATACTTTTTTATCTCAACTAAAAACCTTAATTAATTGAAAGATATTAACTGGTTAAGCGGACCACGAAAACTAGTGAATTTAATAAGTTAAAATGAAGTATACCTTCGCTAAAGCTCTCCGTGGCCATTTCATTTGTCGCCGAGAATCAAATAGATTACACGACTTTTTGAATTTTTTGAAAAATGGCAAAAAGGAGGGAAAATTCAAAAGGTGGGGTTGAGATGGGAAGTTAATATCGGATCGAGGTCAAGATAGCTCAAGTGGTAGAGCAGCGACGTATCTAGCCGAAGATCGTGGGTTCGAATCCCGCTCGTGACACTGACTTTTTATCTCAACGAAAAACCTTAATTAATTGAAAGATCTTAATTGGTCAAGCGGACGAGGAAAACTAGTAAACATGTAAAAATTTTGAAAACAGCATTTCATAAAAACTCATGGAGACATTCTTTTGAGAATTGCTTCAAAAAATGATGAACAGCTTCTATAATAGCTATTCTATGTACTTTAGACCATATACCACAATGTTCACAACATAACCTCATGTAACTCACGTGATGATGAAGTAAGATGGAAGAATTTGTAAAAAAAATCTAAGATTTGATCAACCTACTTACGAATTCAATGATTAAGTTTTTAAATGCAAAAAAAGGAGAATTTTCTATCATGCGTCTCAAATCTGGAGTTTCCACGAATACAAATCTGTCGAGTATGTGTTACTTTGTTAACAAATTTTAGAAATAAAACGCTGATATAAATTAAAAAGAATAATAATGTCTATTTTAAATATTTGTCAAACTTAGCGTTTTTTAAGGTTCAATTAAAATAACGATTGCTATTTCGTCAATATGAATTCTAAAATAATTAATACATTTTCTCATCAGCATAATGGTTAACAATATACTTAAATAAAACGTGGGTTTTTATTGATTGATTCATTTATATATGCTACGGTATCGAACATATTGCACTGAGAATCACCCACCTCTGTATTTTGGTGGTTTGGGGTTTGACCTCAGTTCTATCCGAGTTGCAGCCTTAGTTAGAACTTCAGGGGCTATCAAAGGTTATGTCATTCCTCCCCCCACGCATAAGTTTTTTTAAGAATATACTGATACACT